TCCCCGTGTCTCTCCAGCTGCTGAGAGGTGTTGTTTCTCTTTGCATCACAACAATACTCAAAAGATCTTGTTTTAAATTCAAACCAGTAGTGGCAGGTAGTTGTAAAGGGGTGTTGTGAAGTGAGTGTTTTAGGGTCGCTCTAAAAGTCATCAGCAAAGGCATCAGTGAAAGCAGGTTTAATATAAATGCAACAGTTCGTGGCAAGGTTCACTCTACTACTCACTAAACAGTTAAAATACACCGAGAAAAACCACACAAAAATCCAAAATCAGTGTCAGTCTGGGCTGAAATAAACACAGGACCGTGTATATGGAGGCTGTGGGGTGGGGGGATAGGTGAGACAAAAGGACAGAAGATATAAGGACAAAAAGGGATATGGCCCAAAGGCCTGGCAACACTTAACTTTGCTTATGGCTTAATTTAGCAGCACTTAACTTATAACTTAACACTTAGTAGCATTAACTTAAGAATCTAACTTGGATCTACATATGATTTACTACACAATAAAAATGTTATTCGGTCAAAAATTTCCAGGGATGTTCATTAAAAAAGCAACAAAGTCATTAGACAGCACAACACTGTCCAGGAGCAGACAGGATTCCTGACAAGCTCACAGGAGCTCAGCCTGGGCATTGTCAAAGCCAAGGCCTAAAGAGAATTACTCAGATTATTACTCAGGTCATGGTGTGGTCGGGATAGGGGGGTGACAAGGGGCAGGATGCACCACCAGGATGGGTTGGTAAAGAGTCTCAAGCCAGGTGACGCAGCACAGAAAATGCCAGAGCTCAGAACAGATCCCAAATCCTATTCCCAGCTCGCTGCCTCTCGTCAATAAACCATGTTGCCTCTTACATAAGGCAGTTCTTACCCAAAAGAAATATTTTTGGCTTTAGAGCCAATCTGCAAGGGGAGGTAAGTTACAGTCAAGTCTTTTTTTTTTTCCTATTTTTTCCCCCTTTTTTTTTCCCTTTGAGAGGACAGGGAATAAGATGGAAAGCACTGAGAACAGCAGGCATGACGAGTAGATTTATCTCAGCCTCCATCCCTTCTTCAAAAGCTGTAAAGGATATTTCATCATCCTCCCTCTGGGGGGTGAGTGCTGACTAAAGGCCATCACACAGGTACTAAACCAAAAGCCCCGAGCCCAGGAAGCCTTGTTTCCCTCTGGGAAATCCTGAGATCATCCCAGGATAAGCTCATTGATTTTACTAAAAAGCATTAATATTAAAGCATCCAACGCACTGTTGAGCTACACGGGTGATAATTAATAAATGATAAAGTAAAACACAGGCTGATGGCAGGGGCTCTTGGCTGCTTTGTCTTTCCAGCAACATTTGATGCCATTTCATCCAAGCACTCAAGATGTTTCGTTGAAAAACACGTGTGTTGTGGGTGACATCGATGTGCGTTCCCTGGGATGGAGCCAGGAACCCCGGGAAGGTGCCAGGCATGATCCCAAAGGGCCAAGCAGCCACACCAGATTTCAGATTTTGAACCTGAAATCCCTCCAATCCCACAAATAGGTCCTTCCATGCTGCTGGGAAAATGGCTCTTCCCATGCCCACTCTGGCAGAAGCCTCTCCCAATTCTAGCAGCTCGGCGCTGGATGTGGTTTCCATGGAAATAGACGTCAGATCAGCAAAAAACAGGGCAAGTGTTTAAAATAATCTCTGTTTTGAAAGCTTTTTGCCTTTCTGTCACAATATTAACCTTCCGCAAGGTAAGATTTCTTTTCCTTTTTGGTGCAAAATCCTTGGTTTTAAGGGTGTGCACAACAAGAGGGGTCCCAGAAAGTCCTTTATTTGGGATTTTGGGTGTGGAGGCTGCTGAGCTGGGGCTGCGGATTTGTGCTGTTCTGTGTCCATCTGCCTTTTGTGTGGATTGACTCTTGTTGTAACTGGAGCGACTGTAGGATGGAAACCACCACGGGAATTGTACAGAATTCCTCTGAATGGAACATGTGAACATTTAAAGCACGTTTGGGAGGGAAAAGCTTATCTGGGATTGGCAATAGCATTATCCTGGGAAGGAAATGTTCCCAGGGCAGCCTGGACAAGGATGGATTATTATGGAGCCACTCTGTCCATGCTCTGGAATCTGCACAAGCAATGGTTTTTCTGGACGTGCTTGAACTTGCTGGTGTCACCCCAAAGGAGAGGATGGCATTGTCCCCCAAAACACACTGTGGGGCCAAGGCATTGTCAGAGCCACAGACCCTCTCTGGGGTTGGCCTGTGGTGGTTGTGATCCAGAGGTGACCAAAGGGACATGATGGTCATCTCAGCGATGACCAAGAACCCTGAGGCCATTGTGGCCCTGAGGTGGCCATGCCCTTGGGTAGGTCATGATGCCCTTGAGGTGATCATGGACCCAGGGTAAGTGGTGATGATGACCTGGGAGTGACCATGGTCCTGAAGTGACCAAGAGCCATGAGGTGACCATGAGCCATGAGGTTCCGAGGTATGTGGCCATGGTCCTGACGTGCAGGAGATCATGGCCCTGAGGTGATCATGGCTCTGAGGTGGCCATGGCCCGAAGATCTGTGGCCATGGCTTTGAGCTGACCATGGTTCTGAGGTGACCATGATCTTGAGGTAGAGTAAATGGCCATGGTCCTGAGGGGACCAAAAGCCCTGAGGTAGGTGCTGTGGCCCAGAGGTGACTGTGACTCTGAGGTGGTCAAG